CTGAGGAGTATTTTCACAGGTCTTGGGTATTAATATCAAATGCTGAACAGTTATGGCAGCCAAAATATATCAAAACAGTCTCTTGGCAGAATGATGCCTAGTGAGGTGTAGATATTAACTCTGTGACCTAGACTGACTCCAGGCTGAATAATTACATTTGATTAATTGATCATAATTTTCTGTTTTCTGATGGTTTTGGTGATCATTTATTGTCTTGTTGCAGTCTTATATGGTCATAGAACCTTGAGACATTTTTGTTTCCCTAGAAAGAAATGCATCTCATCAGCAAATCTGTTTCTTTTAAAATCATTGGGAAATTTGCCAATTACTTCAGTGGATGCAATATGGAAGCCAGGAGTTATAACTGTAGTTATCAATAATCTGCCATAATATCTACAATTACATTGCATTTGCATGCATTAAAAAAGATAACATTTGTGCCTCTAAAGACTAGATAATCTACCTTACAGTTTGTATAGCCAGCTAAGTTAAGCACTTGGGGACCATGTGTATGGAGTGTGTCTTTGCTTTATTGTGTTTCTAGGATACAGTTATAATAAAAGACCATGAATACAAGGAATGATTCTCTCTTCACACTTCCTTTTGATCCATGAGGGACATTAACTTAGATTTTGATATACACCATGAACTACTGCCTCTCCCTTCTTAGCAGTAGGAAGACTGAGAAAGATTCCTTCCACCCTCTGCCTTTCTCTGCCCATTAATCCCTCATAGCCTGCAAATACAGAAATAAGTAAAGTTCTGGTTCCTTCCTACCCCTTTTTAGAGAACAAGTTGTATTAGTCCCAGAAATACATTTATTTTATTGAAAAAGCTGTGCTAGTGAGTAGGCAAAAATTGTGACATATAGACAACTTCTTAATTCACTGGACTGGGACATAATTGCAGAACAGTTATGACAAATGTCACGAGCCTTCTTCATTGCTATCCTCCACCCTGAACTAGACCGAAAACTACTAGGACAAAAGAATATCTTAGTCTGGTTGTCAGCTGGTGACTGAGCCACACCCAGCCACTCACTCCCACGGTGGGATGAGGCTGAGAATCCAGCAGGTAGAAGTGAGAAAACTCATGGGCTGAGATAAAGGCAGTTTAATAGGTAAACTGTGCAAGCAAAGCATTAATTTAACACTTGGTAGGCAGGCAGCTGTTCCCAGGAAAGCATGGCTCCATCACAGGTGACTTTGCAGGACAAATACCACCACTCTGAACATCTTCCTTATTCTTCTCTCAGCTTTATATGCTGAGCATGTCAGGGATATCCCTTTGGTCAGGTCTTTGTGGATTTATAAAAGCAACCTGTCAAGCATTCTAGCTGCCCACATTGCTGTTATTTCCCTTCAACTCTGTCTGTTATGACATTGCTCGTGATAGAATATCCTGACTTCTTGTGGGTTATTCCACCATCTAAGTGATTATTATGTAATTCTGGAAATGTGCAGCTTACTCAAGTGTTCAAAAAACCCCCCACATTTATGTTGTGTATCTTCACCTGCTATATAGCTTAGCTGTATAAAGAACTAGACTGAAAAATTCAATATATTTCTAAAGAAGACGATCAGGTAGAGGATTTACCCTTCTGTGAGAAGATGACATTTTTTTACTTAGTGCAGTGACAAAGGCCAGTACCAGCTAGGTATATGATACATTAATTATTGCTAATCTCTTAGTCTGTCTTGAGTGTATTTGGACAAAACACATGGGCTCATTTTACAAAGCAACTTATAATTTTGCTCTCAGAGATTGTGCACTCACTTATAATCAAGCAATTTGATAAACAGTTGCCAGTTTATCAGAGGTGCAGCATGCCACATTGTCTGGAAATATTGAGACATAGGTTTTTCTTTTTTTTTTTCTCCTTTTCCCTTTTTTTTTTTCTTTCCTCTAGCTAATGTCCTTTAGTGTAGAAGCAGAAGCAGGTCCAACAGAGATAAGATGAAGATCTCTGTTTGAAGTCATCATGCAAGGGTTTTCCTGCGCTTGGTGCCCATGGGAGATGGATAAGCAATACACTCCTGAATGAAAGCAGACAGAGTATGCCAGCTCCTCTGTGAAATCTAATGTACAGCAGTGTGTCAACTGGTAACAAGGCAGTTGCTATCTGAGATATCTCAGCAAATTGCAGTGTTTGCAATATGGCCTAGAAAGGGATTTTCTGTTTGGGGTGATGTTAGAGGGTGCTAGAAGAAGGAATAAGATTGTAGAGTTGATACAACAAGGGAAACATGTCCCCCTTTGTGCTTGCCCCAGGGTCTGAGGCTGGGTGTGATTCGGCTGGTGAGGGTTTTCTCCTAAATCAGTGTTGCTGTTTGTGCAATAAGGCACCAGTGGGTTGTGCTGGGAAGCAGTGGTGGAATCAAATCTCCGAGTTCTGGCCATGGGTCCTTATATCCCAGATAATCTTGTGGCACCACCAACTGGTTTTGTACATTTGAACTCTAGGAACCATAGTTTACCTTAGAGATCAAGACACGGTGATGTTTTTTGCTTGTAAGCAGAAGGAGGTAGAATTTATTTGCTATGGAAAGAAGGTGTGCATCTCCTTGGTCATGGCACAACTGTTGATGCTACTTAAAAACCAAATCACTTTGAATAATCTGAACCTGTCAGTACTTCTCAGCCATCCCAAAAGGCATTACCAGGAGTAGCTTGTTATTTTGAATTAGAAAGCATCTCAGGGGGTCTGAGATGAAAAGTTCTGCTGGTGCATTCATAAGGAGCAGCTATTTGTAATATAGTTTTGTATCTTCCACAGACGATCAGAAAACAGCATTTGTGTCCTGAATGTTAAAGCTATTTCATAATCATTATTAACCAGTATGGTCATTATGAGCATGCTTGTTTTGGCCCTTGGGTAACAAAGTTCACTGCTCCATCAAGCTCTGTCATAATGAGCATTATTATAAAAAACATAATATTGTAACCTTCAAATGCTCCCTGGGCTAGTACAGTAAAAACTGGGGGAACAAGCTGAATCTTTAGGCTAGCAGCAGTTGCACTGGGAAAATATAACATTTTTAATGGATGTAAGGTACATGCTCCTCCCCACCCTCTTCATGCTCTTCTCACCAGGACAAAAGCTATCCCTCAGACCCCTCTTGGAGCCTAATTAGCTCATCAAAGCAAAATAAGTTTATAACACAGTATTCACTGCATATCAAATTCCCATGCACTGCTTTGATTTCCATTCTTTGGAGTGCTGTTACCATATTTTGAGTATTTTATTTCAAAGAGAAGAGCTATCAAGTGTTTCCCCCAAAGAAGTTGATTATTCAATGGCTAAAGATGTCAAGGATAATGAAATAAAAAGGGAGCTGGGCTGTGATAGTCTCTAGCAGGAAAATGCATCTCATTAGAAAGCATTCCCACCAGAGGAGTCTGTGGTGTTACATGCCTTAATTCCTTTCTGCTGCTAGGTTGTTGCCCAAGTTTGGGATGCAGGCAGCATGCAGCCACAGTGGCAGCGCACAACTGTGTGCAAACAGTAATTAATCACTGGCTCCCTGAATGGAGCCTCTGTGAGGCTGGAGGCAAATCAAAGGGCTGGCCTGCTTTCCAGAGCTTGAGGAACACGCCATGCTGTACAACTGGGAACATTCACCTTATGAATATCCCCTTGTAAGCCCTGTGGCAGGAGGCTGAGGGGAGCTGGCCTCCACAGGCTCAAGTCTGTGCTCAGCAGAAGGATCTGCCCTTTGGTGTTTGGTGATGGGGACAAACTGTGCATGCTCTGATCCAAGGATAATTCAGTTCAGTTTCCTGGCAATTCCAGAAAGAAAAAGAAAATCAATCTCATTACACAAAAGATTTGTATATGAATTTATATATTCAAGGCTGTTTGCAAGAGTGCGTCTTTGAAATGGCCACGGTGTTCTCTACAGGCAGATATGCATTAGAAATTTGTCAATACTTTGGCATCATCAGCATAGAGCAAATATGCTGAGAAAAGGTGTAAACACTTTCTCCCACCCCCACCCAGTAATTAAGAGCCTTTAGACCAGGGAGTGCATTTTGAAGCAGAGAAGGGAGTTGTGTCAGTGTGAAACACAGTGGTTGTCATTAGAGGATCCACACACTTTGCAGTGATGCTCACAGTAGTGTCTGAGACACCGCAAAATTTCCTTGCACTTAGAAGAAGCAAAAAGTCTTCCCCAGAGAGAGCACTGTGTGGGAAATGTGGGCAAATCTCGGTCTGCTTGGGAGGATGGCAAGTGGATCACTGTCCTCGTGGGTGCAGCTGTGGGTTTGGGGGAGGGTTGTGCTGAGATGGGTTATGGAGGGCAGGGCCAGAGAGACTGCCAGGCACTGAATTGTGTTTCACTGTGTTATAAAATCCCTTTAAAAATACCCCAATATCTGCAGCATATGTGACAGTAGTAGTGCCCTAATAAGGCACTACTTGCCTGAAGTATAAGGCAATAAGCTTGCAATAAGCATACTGCAGCACATATGCTCATCATTATGAAGTATCAGGACATTTTCTGCCATCCTAAAATCCATTTTCGTGGCAGCTCAGTGTCACAGTGAACAGGACTTGTCCCTGTGTTGTGTCTGTCTAGCAAAAAGAGATGAAGTACAAAAGGGCTAAGGAAGTCATATAAATTGAATGATTATGTGGTTTTATGATATATCAAAATAAAACTGGTCTGGAATGTCCCTTGATGTAAATTGTCCTAGAGATGCGGTACAATTTATATTAGCTGAGGTGCTGTTCCTCCAATTTGTCTAAAATACATGCTGTATGTGATGAAAGTCAAAATCTCAGCAATTAGTTTTTCACTCACCCACATCTCTAATTATGCAGATAAAGTGGGAGTTTCTTTCCCTTTGCATCCTTATGACAGTCTACGTTGCTGAGTAGATATTTGTAGAGAAATGTAAGTTCTCCCAGCATCTCTGCAAGCAGATTTCTGCAATGACACTCATTTTCTGTCCCTCAGTAAGGCCAGCACTGACCAGTGTTCCTTGCCCCCTGACAGGTCTGATTGTACGGGAGGTGAGCATCGAGATCTCGCGGCAGCAGGTGGAGGAGCTCTTCGGGCCGGAGGATTACTGGTGCCAGTGCGTAGCCTGGAGCTCGGCGGGCACCACCAAGAGCCGCAAGGCCTACGTCCGCATTGCCTGTGAGTGCTAGGCTGGGCAGGGGGGGTGGTGGTGCTTGCCTGAGGAGATGTGCAGTCTCTGCCTTTTCAGGGAGATGTTTCGTTTCCAACCACTCTGTATTTTGTGCCGTTGTTGATGCATACTGAAACTGAGGCCTTCAGAAATATTCACAAGAGTTTCGGTTTATTTTCTTCTTAGGAGCTAAACCTCATTCTCCTATGTGTGGCATCAAAACTAGTATTAATTGAGTACAGCAGTTTTATGTCCCCATAAAAGTGCCTGAAGCTAATGAGTAGGAACCTTAAAAAAGCAAGCTATGGAAAGAGGCAATAGCTGTTCTTTTCACAGAGCCACAGAATGGTTGAGTTTGGGAGGCACCTTTGGAGGTGATCTGATCCGGCCATTGGCTCAAGAAGGGACACATAGAGCCAATTACCCATGACCATCTCCAAATGCCTTTTGAATATCTCCACAAAAGAGACCCCACCACCTCTCTAGGCACCCTGTGCCACTGCTCTGTCACCCTTACAATGAGAAAGTGTTGCCTGATGTTCAGAGTGAACTTTCTGTGTTTCATCTTCTTTCCATTGCCTCTGGTCCCATCACTGGAAAGAGTCTGGCTGTGTCTTTGTTGCACTCTCTCATCTGGTAGATGGGATCCCTCTGAGCCTTCTCCTCTCCAGGATGAACAGTCCCAGCTCTCTTGGCATTTTCTTGCGGGAGAGCTGCTGCTGTCATCTTTGTGGCCCTTTGCTGGACTACCTCCAGTATGTTCATGTGTCTCTTGTACTGGGGAGCCCAGAACTAATCCCAGCACTCCAGATGTGACCCCACAAGGGCTGAATTATGGGACAGGATCAGCTCTCTCACCTGTTGTCAATGCTTTTTCTCTAGCACAGCCCAGGACATCATTAGCCACATTTGCTACATTTCTTACTTAATGTCAGCTTGGTGCCCACCAGAACACCCAGGCTCTTTTCTGTAAAGCTGAAAATATGTATCACTGTAGTCAGATAATAGAGCTGCTGTTCCTTAGCAAAGAAAAAAGTGTGTTTAGCATTATCATGTGATCAGATTGGTAATATGAGTTTGAAAGTGGTCATCTGAACCCCAGTATTTCATCATTGTTATTCATGGCTACTAGCCTCAGTATTTATTTGGAACCATTCCCAGCTTAGACCCCAAGAACACAGGGCAACCAGTTCCCTGAAAACAGATCTTCATTTGACTGTACAAATATTTAATGTTCATTAATTTTCAAAGAGGTGCTTTTCTTTGTAATAGAGTAGTCACACTGGGGACTCCCATTTCTCTTTCACATGATGAAATACTGTTCTGTATAATAGGAAAAAAATATAACATCTAGAATTGCCTTTCTTCCACTGCTTTCACTCAGCAAAAACACAATTTGTGAGAAAAGGTCATTGGAAGCTGGATTTGCAGCCTACTTATATTCCCTGCACTGTGCCTAACAATTTATAATAGGATAAGAGAATTCTTCCAGCCAAATAAACCTTTTCACAGACATATTAGAGGAAGGACTCTCTGTCATTATAACTCTCCATTAAAGGCTTGGTTCTCCTTCTGTTCTTGAGAAACTACTACTTGGTTAAATCCTCAAAGAGGAGGTACCTTCTGTATAAACATCCAGATACAAATCTCAGAGGTGCTATTTAAGTACCCATTTATGACTGCTTTTATTCCAAGTAAAATAGGAAATAGGGACCTGTACTTTTAAGTATAGGCCTGCCCTCAGAGAAGAATTTCCCCAGGGCTAAGGAGAATTAAGATTATTGTACAAGACAGTCTTCCTGCAAAAGCAGAAATGCCATTACACGTGTGCATATTGCTTTCTCGTGACAGGAAGCTTTTCAAAACTTTGAGGATTTTCCTTTTTTGTAATGAAACAAAAGAGAGTGGTTTCAATTCTTTTTTTCTTCCAAGCAGTCAGCACTTCAGAGAGGCTTAGCAATGTTTGAACAGGTTTTTTAGATTATGACTCTGCAGTTAACTCATTCAGTAGAGTCTCATGTCCTGCCAGGTAGGCCCTGACAGATGCCCATTAAATTAACACAGTTTGGAAGTATTTTATATATACTTAAGTGTATTTTACTTGATATTTAAGTAATTTTTGTGTCTTGGCATACCTGTGCACCTAATTCCTATGTAACACATAATCATTATGTGTCAATGCAAGTTATTTTATATCAACTGACATTCCCAGGTGTCCCCATTTCTATTGAAGGTGCCCATAATACAGAGTTTGCTTATTTTACTTACTATATTTTGGAAAGAGGAGAACAATCAGTTCAGTGATTTTTCCAGAGTCTTAGTGGCTTTTTTTTTTTCCCCAGAAAAGTCTAATTAAACAAACACCAGGGAATTTTAGACGCCTGTAACTCAAATGTGGCTTTGTATTTTACCAAAAGTTTTTTAACCTCTTGTCCCTGAATTTGGGATTCTTGGACAGCTGTGACATAGGAAGGTCACTTAGAGTCCCTGGGATTAAGGATTGAAGTATGAGTCCTTCAATCTGTGAATTCTAAACCCCAAACAAAAGCACATTCTCTGCAAAATTCTCCATTCACAGATTTCTATAAATTTGTCAGGTAACTCCAACCTACTTTTTGGGAACTCGGAAAGATGATGTGGGGAATATGCCTTACTTTGTGATGTCATTTGGTCTGCAAATCCACTGCTTTAACCTCAGTTACACCAACACTCATCTGCATTCACAACTTTGACTTCTTAGGACTGAATCTGCACTGGCAATTAAAAAAAAAAAATTGTGTCATAACAAACTTTCAACGCAACTGGTTAAGAATTCTGATGGTTACACAGTGTGCCATGAGGCTGGGATACAATGTAGGTTCTATACACTATTTATTAATCCAGGAAATCAAGGATGTCCAAATCTTAAGAGGGACAGAAGAGTCCATCTCTCCACATCAATCTGTAGCTATAGCTGCTTATTTGTCACCAGTGCAGTCTTCCCTTTTAATTGGCAGAAGAGTGAGCACTGACACCTTTGGGAGAGGTGAGGGCCAATGGAGCATGTAAACTGCTTAAGTGGAATTATTTATCTTAATACCCGAACCTGGTGATTGTATCTTGACAGGTGCAATTGTAGCATAACTAGCCATATCTAGCACATTAGGAAAAGCTTCTCTCCTCTTTCTCTGTCTCTCTCTCTCCCACCCCACCCCTATCTCCCTCTCCCCTCTCTCTCCCCCTTTCTCCCTCTCTCTGTTCATTTACTTCTCCTTTTCTCCTTATCCACTTTCTGTTTTTTCTCCCTTATGCCCTTACGTCTGATTCTGGAATTATTCTGTCCTCTCAAGGGCTGGAGCTGCACTCCATTAAAACAAACAAACAGAAAAATAGCACCTAGCATCACTGTTCACTGAGCGTGTAATAGAATTAACTGAAAAGTAATTTGAAAGTGTGAAAAATGTGCATCCTGGAAAAGCAGCTTGTGTTTGTTTAATACAGGGTCAGGCATGTGTCAGAAAGTACATAACAGCCTTGTCAATGAAAGTTCTCTGTGAAAATCAATTGCAACATTGCTTTGACCAAGAGCTTCAGTTATTCAGGAAAGGAATGATCTATAAATATGGACTAAAGATGCTGCTGGCGTTCAAAGGTTGCCCATGCTGGCAATACAGGCAGGAAAAAAGCCTGAGTTTAAAGACAACATTCCAGCTTCCTTAAGTGTTCAGGGCATTTAACAGCAAATCACTGTTGCACTCCTGGAGCATGTGTGTGCTGGGAAATGACTCCCTTCTGTGCAGGCTGTTTCTGCAAAGGCATGTTTTTCCTGTTTCACAGAATTCATTGTCTTGGGGCATCAGTCTCCCCATGAGAGCAGAGCTGAGCATTTCATCCTCTTAAACCAGCAGATTTGTCAGGATTAATTTTCACTTTGCCATTTTAGATGTATCAGAAACCAAAAAAGTAGTGATACCTAATGTACATATCCTGGTAGAGCTGGAAAGATACAATAAATTTTCTGAGATATTTGCCTAGGAAAGTGCTAAAACACATTTCCTATTTATTTGCACATTTCTGATTTATTCTAGGCAAATCCTATGAGGAGCCTTAGAAGTCACTAATATGTTTTGATACAGTTTTCCTGCTCAATTAAAAAATTTTCCTGTTGTGGAGAGAGGGAGAAAGGAGGGATTTTGGGCAGCTTTACCTTCAGCTGTGAAAAATGCAGCCGAATATAAAGCTTTATGTGAATTTTCTGTAACAGAGCTGATGCCATTGAGCAGATAAAACTGAACGGCACAAAATTCCTGTTAAAACAATGAATGAGATCTGCGCCTATGTAACCAAAAGTAGAGTCAAACCCACTGGAACATACATCTGATAAAGCCTAAACAATAGCTTCAGGATTTGACCTAATTTTTAGATCAGATAATAAAGGGGTAGCTAAGACAAATTGCTTTGAGCCCCTGTGCATAGAGCTTTTCATTTGCACCACTTTGGTACTGCTGCAGCTTCACTGACTTCATGATGTTAACCCATGCTCTCCTTGAGAAAATATAGTAAAAATTTAAGCCCTTAATCTGCTCCCAGGTTTTGGATTTGTTGAACATCTATGAGAAAATAGAAGCTTTTTCTGTAATTTCAATTACCTGTTTTTCTATATTTTTCTATTTCTTCTATTATCTTTTTTGGTGTAATGGATGTGAATAGCTTATTCTTTTCCTTTATTCACTATCTTAAAATCAGAATTAAAAAAAAAAAAAAAACAAGAAAAAGGATTTTTAAAAGCCCTGATGTAGTAAGGAACTGTGCTTGTTAATCTTTTTTTTTAATTCTGTACTAGTTTCCCACGTACTTATCTGAAAGCCTTTATTCTCCCAGACAATTTTTTCAAAGGCATGCAGTTAATATATGCATGTCAGATACTATATACTGATAAGATAAATGCAGTACAGAAAATTAGATTGGTTCATCTGATGGTTTATCTCTGCTTACAAGGGGTTTGCAGTTATGCAAAGGAGCAGATATG